TGGGGAGGGGGGAGGGGGGAGGGGGGAGGGGGAGAAGATTACCTTCATAACCCGCTATGTAGTGACGGGGCTGGGTTTTCTCTCCAAGAAGAATTTCCAGAACATACACTACATGGGAGATTTCAGGGGTACGCTATGCCACACGGCCGCCTGGCCGGTGGATCTAGACGTGCGCGATAAGCGCGTTGGCCTCATCGGCACCGGGTTCACGGGCAAACAGGTCATAACGGCGATTGCGGGCCAAGTGAAGAGGCTGACCTGTTTCCAGCGGCGACGGGCCCGTCAGCGCCTCTCACCGCGCCAAGATCAATCGAGACTATGACGCGATCATGGCGCAGGTGCAGAACTCCCTGTTCGGTTGCGGGTTCGAGGAATCGACGCGCGCCTACGAGTCTGTGCCGGAGGCGGAGCGGGAGGCTATCTTCGAGCAGCTGTGGGAACACGGGAACGGGTTCCATTTCATGTTTGGCGGGTTTAGCGACATCTCTACCAACCCCGTCGCGAACGAGGCGGCGTGTACTTTCATTCGGAAGAAGATTGGAGAGATCGTCCACGGTCCGGAGAAGGCGAGGATTCTCATGCCCACGGACCGGTATGCGCGGCGCCCGCTTTGTGATAGTGGCTACTGCGAGCAGTTTAATAGGGTCAATGTCCATATTGTCGACGTGGGTGCGGGAAACCCCATTTCACACTTCGCAGAAAGGGGCCTTGTGACACAGGATGGGACGGAGTATGAATTGGATGTTGTGATGTTCGCTACCGGCTTTGACGCGGTCGATGGCAGCTACACCAGACTACAAATCCGCGGCGTGGGCGGGAAGACATTACAGGAACATTGGGCTAAAGGAGGCCCGACGAGCTACCTGGGAATCTCCGTCCCCAATTTCCCCAATCTCTTCGTGATTGCGGGACCACAGGGTCCGTTCACTAATGTTCCTCCGGCCATCGAGACGCAAGTGAGGTTTCATTTCTTTCTTGATTGGAAAAGCTGAGTTGAGCAGGAAAGTTGCGGCAGCTGCTGGGACAGGTGGAGGAAGCGCTGGTACAGTCACTGCAATGGCGGAGAGTGAGAAAATGTGGATGCAGACGTTCCAGAAGATTGCGGAAGGGAGTCTGTTTAGTGGGACTGCGTCATGGCTTTTTGGTAGCAATGTAAGCGGGACGAAGTCGGGGGTGCGGTTTTACCTCGCCGGGTTGAGGAGTTATATTCAGGTGCTGAAGATGGTGGCTGAGAAAGACTTTAGAGGGTTTAAATCACTTGTAAAAGGAAGCTCGGGTAGGATGTAACTGTGAAAGGCTACGTACTCTAAGCGTAGTGACCTTGAGAAAAGGTGGAAGCAGATAGGGAAACAGAATCATACCTTTTTAAGTCGACAGAGTAACGGCGAGCGTACCCCAAAGCTAACCATTTCAATGAATACCCATTTCCGGAGCACGTCAATTCAATGCCAGTTGATCATAAGGATAATCAATGCCCCTGAGGAAGCCATGCATGTATCGTATCTGATGTGAGTGAGCCAGCGGAAACTTCATCGAGAAGCTGAACTCTGCCAAAAACTAGAGTAAATCAGCTATGATATTAAAATTCTTGTTATCACGATATAAAATAGGTACAAAACAGAAAATATCTACCCATAGATGAAGAACCAGATGGAAAGGAGAAGAACTGAATCAATGAATATAACCCTCCACACATATATCTCATGGAAAAAAAAAAGGTCAGTTAATAGCGAAGTAATAACGTAAGATAAAAGAAATGGGAGTCAAAAGCGTTTGAGAGCATTAAAATAAAGGTCAAACTTTTTTTTCTGGTGAACAAAGATTAGTATATGTAGAAATGTCAAGAGAGATATGGTGGGGAGATATAGGAATATAGAAACAGAGCCGTTACTTGCATTGACATAGATGCAAGCCAAAAAGAAAAAAAATTCAAGTGTCGGTACGAGATGAAGTGAAATGGAAAAGGGCCAAAAAAAATCAAAGCAAAATCGAAACGTAAATAACTTGTAACAGCATACATAAAATAGTGATATCAGACAAGCAAGAGCGCAAAGAAAAGTTAAAATAAACCATCAAAAAAGAGAAAAAAAGAAAAAAAGAAAAAAGAAAAAAGAAAAAGCCCCCAATAGGAAAAGCCCAGAGGTAGAAAACACACTCTCACACAAATCCAGGCAGAACAAGAAATCAGCTTCGAGGCAAAAATGTCATAAGAGCAAAATAAAACCAAAAGCAAAAGAAAAGAGGAAAAAAACCAGAGAATGAAGGGGTTAGGGACAGGTAACATAGGAATGATTTCCTACATAATGGATCAAGAACAATAACGTTATCTTCGGACATATAGGCTTATACAAACACAGCGGGAAATCGATGGTGGGTGCAAAAACCCCACCTTCCCCCCTCCCCCAGATAAAAATCATATACATATATAGACAAGGAAGATTGTAACAGCGAAAAAGGTATTGCCCCACGATCACGATGCGCGCGATCGCTCGAGTATACCTGCTCGCAAAAGGGACATGGACAGGAACCCGGGCGTGGTGGACACAAGCTGAATCACCACTTGCACACACACACCTGCACTAGAAGTAGATATCAAGACGGGTAGGGAGGCCAGGTTAGCCCGTTATTTCCAGCCCACCGCTCGCAACAAATGTCTGTGGATTTGAAATCAAGGAAAGAGATCGGGAATAGGGGGTAACAGGAAGACACATACATAGATTGATAAATAGCAAGAAATCGCAATGAAATCGCAATAAGGCGTAGGGACGAGAGAAAATTGGAAGGAGAACAGTAGTTAAAAAAAAAAGACAGACCAGAGAGCAATGAAAAAGGAACAAAAATGAACGAAGCTGACTACAGGTTGCGCAAAGAATCGGACTAAGAAATCAAAAGCAGGCTTCTTGGAAGAAATGGAAATAATATCCAAGAAAAAAGGGAAAGAAAAGAAAAATAAATAGTAGATGAAAATAAAATAAAAAGCCGTGGAAAATATCCAACTGCCGTCGTTGTGCCGTGTCGCAATAGAAAAATATAAAGAAGTAAAAGGATTAAAAAGGAGGTGGGAAGGGGAAGGTTTGTTGTTTGTTATGCCATACCAGACAGCGCCAAAAAAGCAAAAATAGGACAAAGAAAAAGAAAGTTGTCAACGGAATATTCCCAAAAACCCAGTTAAACGCCGTCCGAGCTCCCAGATGAGGAAGCAAAATAGGAATATGAATAAATAAGTAATAATCGAAAATGGCGCTAAAGTGCCAATCAATGGAAGCATGTAAGGCATTAGGGCTTTTTCATTTTGAGACTGGTTTCGGAGGTGGTTGGGGAGAGGTGTTTATCGTGATCGAGGCAAAGGGGTGGTGGTAGTGACATTCTGTTTTTCAGAGTATTCCCGAATCCTTGAGGGCGTTTTGCAAAATGGTTTCTTTAACGGCGGCGAAGACGAGCCGGATGTTTGAGGTATCGGTAGCTTGTGTGAGGCTAGCAAGGGAGGGATTGAGGGTTAGTTGAAAGGTATGAGACGCGCCTAAAAGGAATATAAAAATCGATGTTGAACGTAAAATCATGAAGAGAACATACTGAGGGTAGAGATTCAAATGCGCCCGGTTTACTTGATTGAATCTCCATAGGAGGTATTTGGCAGCTCGGTTAACGTCGTTGCCGCCAGAGTAATCAGGGAAGTACTTGTTAAGCGGGGACCGGCCGAGTTTCTGTCTGAAGAGGTCGACCTTGTTTAAGAAAAGGATAATACTCGTTCGCATAAACCACCGGGAATTAACAACAGAGTCAAACAACACTAAGCTTTCCATCATGCGGTTCTTTTGCGGTTCGCGGTTAGAACCAATTGACAAATCACACAAATAAAGCAGCGGAGCGAGGAGAAAAACAACATACCTGATTACTTTCTTCCAACAACACTTGATCATACTCGCTCAATGCAACGCAGAATATTATCGATGTTACGTTTTCAAAACAGTGAATCCACTTTTTTCGTTCGCTCCGTTGACCCCCAACATCGAACATGCTAAAGTAAGGAAGAAATATGTCAATATCAACGCCTATGCGCTCCCAAGTTAAAAGTAGGGTAGATCAAACGCACTGAATACTCAATTGACCCATTGTAAACCTGGTTTCATATATACCGGTGGTCTTAGTTCTGGCGCGAAGAACATCGGCCTCGTTGGGTATGTAGTCCGGCGCAGTAATACGTTTCGCTTCGTCGAAAAAACTATGGAGAAATTATTAGACTATACGGCCCATCTAAATAAAACAAAGGTAGGGCCACTAAACGGCGGCGAGGGGCCATACTAAGGTGCTGAATCCATGAGATAGAACTCGTTCTGGTGCTCTAATACGGTTGGCATGATGGGGTCGTTCCACAAATACGTCACAGCATCGCCCACTTTCGGATCTATTGGGGTGTTTGGGTCGGGATCGATCTGGTATGAGTTTAGGTACTCCATGTATTCTTTGACTTTCGGGCTGGAGGGTTGTAATTCGAAATGGTGCAGGGCGCCTATCAGGTCCTTTGCGCAATCTAACAGGTTTTTGTAAACTGTCGAGCGGCACATGGTAAGCTCCTCCACAGAATACCCATTCTGATGAATAATCTTCATCTGCTTTACGATGGTCGATTTCCCGCTCTCTCCCGAACCTGTAAAATGAACCGTCAGAACACAATTCCCTCGCTGCCTCTTTCTTTCTGCATTTCTCTCTCTCTGTGTGTGTGTGTCTCACTGACGGAATCAATCGCAACCGTTGACAAAGCCGCGTGCAATCTATCATAGGTTTTAGGGGGGGAAATAGGCAGAAATTACGGACCAAGCAGTAGAATCTTGCATTCCCTCCGTAATCGCTTCATATCATCCTCAATGCCTTTGTCTATCATTTGACTCCTCTTCTTCTGTTCCACATCGCCGCCGGAAGTTGAGCTACAACACCCGCCCATCCTTATCCGAACTCGAGCACCGCTGACAAAACCAACACTATTGGCGACGATGACGCCAACCACCTAACCGGAGGAAGGAGACGGGGTGTGTTTTTACCGGATGATGCTATGGAGATAGAAAAAGATGGAGGAAAAACGCGCTCCACGGCCTTGAGTGGAAAGAGGTATATGGCGTCGACAACAGGCTCGGGTAGCAAGGACGGAGAAGGCTAATAGGCGCGATTGGGTCGGGATTGGCCGGGTAGGATATGTAAGTATGTATGTATATATAATATTGCGAGTATATTATGTGCAAAAACAAGGGCCGCCAGCCACCTGGGGCAGGAAGCCACGGGACGGAGGCTGACTGGGGGAGGAAGAGTTAAAGCTGGCGGATTCTAGAGACGAGAGAAAATAGAGTGAGCTGGGTGGTTAGTACAAAGGAAGCTTTTCTTTTCTTTTTCTTTTTCTTTTTCTTTTCGCCTTCTTGGGGTTTTCTTTTCGATGGAACGAGAGAGGTAGAGAGGGAGATGGTTTTGGGGCCAAAGGATCGGCACGGGAAGGCAAGGGCAGGCAAGGGTCAGCAACGGTGAGGTATTGAAGGCAGAGGCGGCGATGATGGCTCTCATGTTTTGCCCATGGATGAGGCGAGGTAATTTACATACAGTTCGAATAGAGCTAGTGACAGAAGAAAGACGGACGATGGTGGTGATGCGTAGGAAGAGGAGGAAGAGCGGAGTGAACGGGACAATCCGCGAACGGAGGGGAGGGGAGGAGAAGAGACGCCAGGGTTGGACTGAGTGGTAGTGAATGGGCTATGGCAGAGATGAGGCTGTAGGAGAAGGTAGGAAAGGAGGTTGTTGGGACGGCTCGCTGGAGGGATGGATGGGTAGATGGAGGGTAGGCAGAGAGAGCTCCGGAATGACGAAAGCGAGCTGGGCTTGGAGAGCTTGGGCGAAAACTGGGAGAGAGGGAGCAGCAGCAGCAGCAGCAGAGGGGAGATGGATTGGTGGATCAGGACAGCAGCGTGGGGACGGAGGAGAATAGATGAGGATGATCTGGAACTGACTGGCAGTTGGAGGAATGTGGAGGAATGTGGAGGATGTGGAGGATGTGGAGGATGTGGAGGATGTGGTGATAGTGGTTGTGGTTGTGGTTGTGGTGGGTGTGGAAGCTGGCGATGCCCCGGATGAGCTGTCGGTCGGGGCTGGCCAAGGGCGAAGGGTTAGGCAAGGCCGCCGCTTTGGGTTTGCCCTGGAGAGATGTTTATATCTATTATTTGCTATGCTTGGATATTATTATAATTATTGCTAGTATTGTTTAACTATTATTGAGAGAATCAACAACTAACCTCCAGCACCACCCACCAGCACAGCAAATTTAGCAAAATTAATTGGACCAAGCAGCAACAGTAAAAATTTAATCTATGAGATTATTATCTGCTCTGGTTGCACTATGGCTTGAGCATGCCTGCTCGCTCTGCTGGAGTCGCAGTAGCAGCAGCCGCACCCTCAACCACCATCATCCATCATCCCATCATCATCCAAGACCAGCGGCCGTGGCAGTGCCAGACAAGACCCTGTTTTATCCGTTAAGGTTAGCTAGGTTGTTTATTAGCTTTCAGTTTTTGTGTTCCACCTCCCCAATCTCACCAAATGCGGCGGGATTCGGATTATTATGGCGAACAATAGCCACTCAATCGCGCAAATGCAAGGCGAAGAATGGAAAAGAAAGAAGAAGAAAAGGAAGATAGCAAGAATAAATATAAATAATATACTCACCCTCATAACTTACTCCTCCTTTTTACTTATTGATTTTAACTATTATCAATCCCCAATTGAATGCGATATCATCCGCCTCCACACTCCGCAAAAAAAAAAAAAAAAAAAAAAAAAGAAGACGTGGCCCGCCGTGATGCCCACGGCCCACAACCCACCCAACCCTAGCGGGTTCTTCCCACGTTTTTTTTTTTTTTTTTTTTTTTTTTTTTCCTCCCTGGTGGTAGTTAACTACTCCGTAGAAATAACTAACGATTGATTATTGCCCCCCTGTCATGTCGTCTTGTCTCATCTTGTCTCGACTCTTCGTGCATGAAGAGTTACCAGTACATGAAACCGTCAACCCTTGTACTCCGTACTCCGTATTCTGCATCTATCGCGGTAGATTTTGTATTTAAAATTTCGCACGGACCCGCCGTCCTCGTCGCCGTATCTCTCTATTAATATTGTCTATTTTCATCTCTATTTCTATCTGCTCTATTTCTCTCCCTACGAGTCTACACCTATGTCTGCACCTATGTGTGTGTGCGTCTGCGTCTGCGTCTGCGTCCTGGTACTACCCGGGTACATATAGTAGTAAGTAGTTCCCTGTATCCGCGACTCGACTTGAGCCCTCGAACGCAATCCGGGTATCAAGGTACATGGACATACATACATACACATACGGAGTACGTACGGAGTACGTACGGAGTACGGAGTACACTACTGCGAACTCCCCAGGTCCCTAGTTTACCAGCCGCCCAGCGCACTACATTTAAAGTTTGGCCTATCTCGCTCCCCTTCCCGCGAATAATCACTAATAACACCCAGCCGGTGCTTCTTCAGCACACGCACACAATCAAACAACCGTCCCCCAGCCCCAGACCCTCAGCTAGCCAACCCACGCTAGCCAAAGCCCTCAAGTCAAACTCAGATCGATCGGGGATGGACCGAGCGATGGATAGATAGATAGTGAACTGTTGGCTGACTGCTTGTTTGTAACCTGTTCCTCTCAGCCAGACGATGAATTATTGAATTGGCTGCATGCAGCTGTGGGGTTAGGTGAGGAGGGAAGGGGGGGAACTGAGTGACTGCAGACAAGTGCAGAGAGTTATAAAAAGAACCAAAACGGGTTGGTTATTGAGTCGGGTATATTATTATGGTTTTCTTTTTTCTTTTTGCTTTCCTTTCCCTCTTTGGAGGAGAGAAGAAGATTTTTATTTAAATCCCGTCCCAAACCCCGAAAGAAAAATTCACCACAAGCAAGGCGGCGGCGGGGAGTGGATTTTAGTAAGATGCCCAGCACTTAGTAGCTAGTTATAATCTATAATGTAACGACGCTGAAAACAAAACTCGAAACTTAACTTCAAACTCAATTTACAGTACATGTAATTCGTCTTGTCTGAAGAAGCAAAGCAAAGCAAAACAAATGCCTGGACAGCTTCTAGAGAAGAGAGAATATGCAAAAGAGTGAATATTAATGAATGATTCTATTCACCTCATTATTTCATCTAAAAATAAATAGAAAAGAGGCTATTTATATCCCTACTTGCTTCACACAGAGATAACATACATAATAACTGTGCTAAGTGCACTCACTACTTGTCTCATTATTAATAGTGAGTGTGTTAAAAATATCACTGTAATGAAAAAGGTACCTTTTGTACAGAGTACTCTGTATGAGTTCACAATAGAAAAGATACTTCTTGAAAAAACCATGAATATCTTCAGCAATTCAAACTGTATATAAACACTTAGAAAATATATTCCAGATCTAATAGGTGGAAAATCATACTAAATTTTAGTGTGGTTTTCACCTTTTCTACAGTCAATAGTCAGATTAAATATAAATTCTTTTAAATTTTGGGATTTCTCACTGTCTACGGAGTATTATATCTATAAGTTTCTACAAGCATCTGAGTACCTTTTGTTCTATCAGAATAATAAGACTGATTGATGCACAGCATGATTACCTTTGACAATTTTCAATAATGATGTTAACATATTATATATATGTATGTACATGTACATGTATACTCCGTATTTATATATATACCACTCTGATACTGTCTGTAGCGCACCCCCCTACTTCCACCCCGTCTTGTTCACGTGTCCGCTCTACCTCTTGCCATCCATTCCTTGTTCTCTTCAACTCCTTCTTGAAGCCCTGATCTTCCTTTCTCTTACTCCGTACTCCGTACAATGGTGCGACTGCACCAACCTATTAATAGGTACCTGCAAGTAGCGAGAAACCAAAACTGCCTACAAATTGAGACCACATCCCCTTCACAACCAAGTAACCAGCTGTCTCCCATTCAGCTATTACAGGGACAGAGATTCAGACAAAGATTCAGACATAAGCGCTTCACCAGCAAACATGGAGCCAGACCCGTTCACTCCCAAAGGTGCGTATTGTTGGGCTTTAGCATCTGCCTCCATACTTCTTTATCTCAAGGATAGTTTTGATAACCATAAAACAGATGGCTACGGACAAGTGATCTACGCTTTCTTTCCAGACATGCCCAAAATCATCCGCCTCGATGAGCACAGGGTACTGAAATCTGCAATCACTAATTCCACTGAAACTGAAGCCATGAAATTTGTCGCTGCCAACACCACGATCCCAGTCCCAAAAGTCTACAAGACCATATGATCTGGCAACAGGACGGACTGAAGCTTCTCAAATTGTCATGGAATACACCCCCAGCAAACCCCTTGGCAAAGTCTGGGGAAAACTCTCACACAATAAGCAGATGTTCATCTGTCATCAGCTCCGCGGCTTCCTCTCCCAACGTGCAAAAACTTAGACCCACGACAACGCCGGCTCTGATTGAGTCTGCAAATGGCGGTCCGGTAACAGTCGGGCTTCGATTTCCTCGTCGAGGTGGACCATTCGATTCTGAGAAAGAATTCAACGACTTCCTTGTTGGGTTAAATGATCCCAAATATCCATCTCCTCTTTAAACACTACGCAAGATCTGGAATGAAAGATAACCATGAGATCCATTTTGCACATGGCGATTTCTCACCACGCAATATCATGGTTGATGTGGATAGTGGGGAGGTTAAAGCCGTGCTGGACTGGGACCGGGCAGGCTGGTACCCTGAATACTGGATCGTAGTAGGATACTCTCTGAAAACCCTGGGCTACGGGATTATTTCCCTTATCTCAAACGCATTGTTCCCTTCAACTATGCCCAGGAGGTTCTTGCAATGGGGATATTCATTACGCTTTACAGGTGTTCGACAGGCTTATGTGTTTCGGATTTTTCGAGATTTTCTTAAACAAATCACATGGAATGAATATAGACGGTCTATCACGAGGTAAGGTCCATACATTTCGTCTGGTGCAGCTTGTAAAAATAATAGCTGATTCCGAGAAAGTGAGGTAACGGCCAGCTCGACGGCAAACTCAGACCAGACTCATTGCTTTGAAATTGAGAGCAATAGTTATACTTACTGATATCTGGCATACATTAATTCCGTATCACAGTAGCTTTTATCCTCATCCCGTTCAAGTTTTGATTATCTCCACCTAACCTTTTTCCCCCATTCATTCCCCCAGTAAGAGACTAACTTTAAGTATAGAAGGTAGACTTTCAATATCAAGCAGCAGATGACAAGATAATCGAGTTCACATATGATCTTTTTAATCGACGAAATAACTAAGATCTAACTAACCTATCTAACTAACCTATCAATGTCTGATCTAGTTCTATTATTATTATTAAATTTCTACTGTGCTCATGTTGGGGGTCCCGCGGTTGGTCGGCCCTTCTACCAGCAGTGCGCTGGTGGTGATTGAGCTCTTTTGCCCCAGTAGCCTACAGGTTATGAGCCCGGTAAGCGTGAGCCCCACTGTGATCAACATGCATGGGTTCAATTCCAGAATGAACTTAAAAATTCCTAATAAATACCCTGGACATTTTAACAGTATCAAGAGACATTTCAGAAGTATGCTCTAGAAGTCCTGTGAGCTCTAAGACTGACTGAGTTCATTATTAAAAAGAAGTCATTGTGAGAAGATCACTGAAGAGAGTCACTGAGAGAAAGTACTATACTCTGTAATAGCTGATCTGAGAGAGAATATTAAAAGTTCTATGATTAATCAGCTCTTCTATTAGCAGATGCTGATAATAATTGAGCTCTTTTATCTCAGTAGTCTACAGATTATGAGACTGTTAAGTGTGAGTCTCACTATAATTAATATACATGAGTTTAATCTCAGAATAAACTTAAAAATTTCTAATAAATACTCTGAATATTTTAACAGTGTTAAGAAATATCTCAGAAGTATACTCTAAAAGTTCTGTGAGCTTTAGAACTAAGTGATTCAGTTCATTATTAAAAAGAAGTTATTGTGAGAAAATCACTGAAGAGAGTCACTGAGAGAAAGTACTGTACTCTGTAATAGCTGATCTGAGAAGAGATGTTAAGAGTTCTGCAGTTAATTAACTCTTCTATCAGTAGATACTGATAATAATCAAGCTCTTTTATCTCAGTAGTCTACAGATTATAAGACTGTTAAGTATGAGCTCTGCTGTAATTAACATGCATAAGTTCAATCTCAGAATAAATTTAAAAATTTCTAATAAATACTCTGAACATTTTAACAGTATTAAGAGATATTTCAGAAGTGTGCTCTAGAAGTTCTGTAAGCTCTAGAACTGAGTAGTTCAGTTCATTATTAAAAAGAAGTCATTGTGAGAAGACTACTGAAGAGAGCTACTAAGAGAAAGTACTGTACTCTGTGATAGCTGATCTGAGAGAGAGTGTTAAGAGTTCTGTGATTAATCAGCTCTTCTATCAGCAGATGCTGATGATAATTAAGCTCTTTTACCTCAGTAGTCTACAGATTATAAGACTGTTGAGTGTGAGTCTCACTATGGTCAACATGCATGAGTTTGATCTCAGAATGAACTTAAAAATTTCTAATAAATACTCTGAATATTTTAACAGTTGTAACGTGGCGGAACCGAAGCAGTGACTAGTCAGTGACAACATGTAGAGATAGTTATTTAAGAAGCTGTATAAGTGAGCTTAACTATCTTACTTGAATAGTGAGCTTGTAGGCTACAGAGTTATTATAAGAATATCACAGATATGATACTTAGTATACTAAGAAGATTGTATGAGATACACAGTAACTCTTGTATATATTTCAGTCACAGTAAAATAAATCACTGACTTCTTTGATAAGAAGTCAGTATCTAGCTATTCTATATAGATAATGAGTGAATACTCTTCTCTTATTTTATAAGTGAGAATAGCTGAAGTGATATCTCAGCAGTATCTTATTATCAAGAAAAAGTAATCTGCTGATCTTGTATAGAAGCAGAGTTCTTATATTCATTAATTAAATCTTTCTATAATATATTCAAATGATGTTATAGAGTGATTGAAAACTAGTTCAGATGAGATAAAATTATCTGTATGAAAGTGATAAGCTGTGTGAAACTGTAACAAGATCTTGATATAGCTGAGAGTGTGATAATACTCTCTTCTTTAAGAGTATAGTCTCTATACTCTCAAGATTACTGAATTAGAAATTATCTTTGTTGTATAGTAACAGTTGCTAACTGATTAACAGTATGTGTACTGCATATGATATAAAGAAATAGATGAGTTTTTCTGCTGACTGTGTAGATCTTTCTTTTCTCATCTTCATTCAAATTAAATGTGTGATAAGTGAGTTTCTTATATATTAATTTAAAATGTGAAAAATATAGTTAACAAGTGACTTACAGATCTCTCAATATATTTCATTCTATGTATAAAATTCCCTGTAAAAGTGATGTGTTTTAGAGACAAAGTTAACAGTAGTGACAGAATTTTTCTGAAAAGATTTCTCTCTCTTCTCTGTGACACATTTTCCCCCTCTTCTTCATCTGCAATAGTGAGTGCATGAGAGTATCATTCTTGAGAGACAATAAGAGGCTTATTCTGACATTTTCTAGTAAATAATAAATGTCTTTGTGGTGCGGCTGCAGCCTCTGTAGCTGCCAAGAAAGCCAGGTTAAAGACAGTGATATCAATGAGCTGTGAGAGTATCACTCTTATTATCACATCTTCTTCTGCTTCTCTGACAGCTGTAGCAGTTCTGTCAGTCAGTGCATCTGCATTCAGTTCATCCCCTGCTCTCTTCATCATCATTGCGACGCCGCCCCCCCTCTCAGCTAATACAGTGATGTATGACCCTGTGTGATCATTTGAAGAGGAATCCGGAAAGAGCTTGATTTCAGAGACAGTGACTTTAAGAAGCTCAATTCATAGTTTCTCTCTCACAGCACATCTGAGCTCTGCTCAGAATACTGCTGAGTTGAGTTCACAGAGTTCTGCAGTTTCTTTATCTTCTCTCTGTAAGAAGACTCTGATACAGTCTCTGATCAGTATCACTACTTATCTGTACTGTATTAAGCAGCTGAAGAAGAGAAGAATTTTATACATCTACTTCTTCTCTCACTCTTATTATTTTCATTATATCTGTAACAATGACTTCTGTCTCTCTGTAAGTATTATCTCATAGAAAGATATTATATCAGTTCTGATAAGAAGTCTAGATACTCAAGTAGTACAGAGTAAGAGTCTCAGAGCTTTAAATATTAATAAATTCTGTTAAGACTGAAGAGGTTTTTCTTACTCATCTGTAAAAGAAGATGAAAGTGTGAATCTCTGAGATAAAAAAATATCTCAGAATAACTGATCTTAAGAAGAGATCAGCTGATATCACTGTTGAAAGTATTATAGAGATTAATCACTGATTAAAGAGAATCTTACTTCAACTGAAGCAGATGACTGAGATACTTTATAAGTTAATAAGTTGATATTTTATATATTTCTCATACTCTTCTGCAGTACTGTAGCACTAACTTCTCAGCAGATAAAGATACTGATATCAGAGACTTTAACAGTGAAGAATGAGTTTAATAAAGATATAATTATTAATAAGTAGACTCTGAAATTCTCTCTTTTTACTTTTTCAGCAGACTGCAGTCTTATTAGATTAGCAGTGATCTACAGATTGATTAATATTAATCTTTTTATTAATTTTAAATATCTCTTTCTTTTTCTTATTAATCACTTCAGAAATTTTATACTTGTATAGTCTCATTAAACTTCTAAAAAATTCTTTAAGAGAAAATAGAAGAAGAGTACTACAGAGTCTATAAGATACTGACTCATTACTGTGAGATCATCTCTAAAAAACTCTTTGAGAAAAATGAGAAGTCTTAAGCAGCATTTCTTATTTAATATCTCTGACATGTAACAGAGCAGTCTCTACTAGCTATCTCATAGATTATAATCTCTTTCTCAGTATTTTTCAAATACTTAAGTAATTCTTATAAATTCTCTGACAATGAATAATCTTCTTATTTAATAAGATATTGAAGCTTGCTATAATATATTCACTTATTCAATATTTTCTTCATAAGATATTCAGTATCACTCTTAATCTTGATATTATTTAGCTGAGATGACTCTACTTCAGAGCATTACTTATAGAGCTTCAAATAGAAAATGTGAAAAACAGAATGAATTGATTTCAATTCTGTGAGTAATTTCAACTCATATATCTGCTTACTCATTACTCTTGTTATTGAAAAAAATTCTAGTTATCACTCACTGAGCTTCTTATATAGTCTTATTATCTTGATATTCTTTGCTGAAAGTAGCACTTGATTCTCTATTAAGAACTTTATTAAAAGATGTTTTTAATTATAGTATTTCATCTACTGCTTCTGAGTATAGTGAATACTTTTCACTGTCTTCTTATAAATTTTGTTTAAAAGTTTCAATCTCACTTTTACTTTTAATACTGAGAGATACTCTATTCTCTGTATCTATCTGATATTCTGATTATCTATTTCTCTCTTTAAAACATCATCTGTAATGTCACTGAGTAATGAAGAATTATATTTATAATAAGCATAGAAAGAAGATATCTTTAAGATTACATTCTTTGTATTATTATATATGAATTCAGCAGTTAGAAGATGTTTGAGTCAATTATTCTAATAATATAAATAGAACACTCAAAGATGCTATTCTAATGTCTGATTCTAATGTTCAGTCTGGCCATTGATCTGCAGATGAAATGCAGTACTGAGAAGATATCTTATTATAAGATGATAGTAAAAAGCTGATCAGTACTTACTGATAAAGAGAGATTCTTGATCTGTTATCAATGATTTCAGAGCACTGTGATTATGAATAATGATATTTAAAAACAGATCAGTCAATTCAGAGGCTTTAATCTTTTTATAAGTAGAGATATATCTGATCATCTTTGTGAAGTGATTAATAATAATCAAAATTGAGTCATATTCTTTGACTCTTGTCAACTTCAGCAGGTCAACTATGAAATTCATTAATAGATTCTATTATAAGCTTTTTAAAACAGGCAGTGATACTAACTCACTGTATTACTTATACTGCAGAATCTTTATTCTTTGACAGATATTGTAAGTCTTAACATACTCTTTGACATCTACTCAGAGCTTGTCTTAAGTGTATTTATATTTTAAAAGCTTCTCAGTCTTCTCTAATCTGAAGTGTCTTATATGAGAATTATTATAATAAATTCTCAATAACTTC